GACACCATGAATTTCGTGATGCGGTGTTCCAGGCGTGTGTAGAAATCATTTCGAAATTTCAAGTCATTGTCGATCTTCCATGTAAGCCTCATTCTCGGCACAATGATCTCAAGGAGGTCGATTATATCGTAATGGACGCGAAGGGCAAAATCCTTATATCCAAAGTATCGAAAATGATCCCTGTGCAAGTCATGCGGGCAGATACCGGCCCGAGCATGGAGATCTGCACTCCAGAATGAGAGTTCGAGATACTTCCCGAATGAATATTTCCACGTGCTTGTGGACATGGGGGTAACAGTGGTCTCAACACCACAGATCTTGCACTGGCTCCACATCAAAATCACATCCTGGAATCCACGCATCTTAGATGGGTATGGTTGCACAAAGACTGTGATCTGCGCTTCGCCGTGGACGTACTGACGATGATGTTCATGCATTTTCTTTTCGCAGGCGTCGGATGGGCAGATGTCATTTGCCCGGTAGCACAAATCTTCAACGTATTGCCCAAGAGTACAATCTGCCTCGAACTCAGCCTCGGTCTCATGTTCGTTGTAGAAACTAAAGGCGAGAAGGTCCGGGCCAGAGCAGGGGACGGACGTCTCCGTCGAAACGAGGCTGAACAAGACGACAATGTTTTGATGGGCGAAGGGGTCAAAGAGATTGCGGTTTCCCGAGAGGTAGGTCTCCCACTGTTTTTTCTGGCTTTCATAGTTGTAGACCGCCTTATCATACTCGGCATCGTGTACCGCGTGGATGATCTCGCGCACCTTCTTGCTTGCTCCTGCGAGAGGTCTATGAACCATTTCCGGTTGAATCAAGGTGAACTTGGAAGTCTTGCCCTTATCTTCCATCGTCTGTTCGGCCGAGAGATCCTGGTCACGGAGCCGCTTGAGGTATGCAACGCGTCTTTCCAACTCTCTCGCACGCATAAGAAGATATGGCTGCATGAATTTGACAAACGGCGAGGCTGAAAGGATGCGGGTCTCATGCTTAAGGACCAGGTCCTCATAAAATGTCGGCACAGGTATGTCATCTGGTATGTGTGCCGAATCTGTGCTATCCATCCTGACTGCCTGAGCAAAACGGACTTCTTTTTCCAAAGCAATGATTTCTGCATTCGAGACGTCTCCAGCTTCAGCAAAATGGGTCTCAACTTTTTCGGTGTTTTCGTTAACGTCTTGCGACGTCCCTTCATTGTCAGTTGCCGCAGTCTTCGGAAGAACGTTGGTAGTTGTTTTAGAGGCATTAGTAGTAGGTGCGCTCGGTATCAGGGCAAACTCATCTCTCATCAAACAAGTCTCGAGTTTCAAATTGTAAACAACGTACACCATGAATTCAGTGACGCGTTTGATCTTAGACAAGGTCTGTCGGTCGGCACCTCGAAGCGCAATTGTACACCCAAGCTGAGGGGGGCACCCTGAGAGATAAACGTAAGTTTTCCTTCGCCCGTCAGCCACGAAGGTCTTTACTTCAAAAGAGTCGCAGCGACCGAATGGATCTGACAAAGAGGTCAGTTTGTCCATCGAATGGACGACACGGGCTTGCGTGCACCGTGATACAGCTTCGAGAACCGACGATTTTACGTTGAAAATGGTTGTGATTTTTGCTTTCTCCAAGAGCTCAAGAGCGAGGCCAGATATGCTCCGCTGAGCCAAAAGGACGTCAGGCTTCAAGGCGGCGATGCGTCCAACAAGATTGGCCAGATACTCCTTTTCTTGCCTGATGACAGGGTCCAGACTCATGAAATGCTGTTCATGCCTGGCATATTCAAGCGCGAAAGTGATGATCAAAATCTTGGGATTTGTGTGGGACCGAGCCATACTCTTCAAAGCCACGTTTTTGGTGAAGATCAATCCAGAAATGTATGCAGTGTCACCCGGTTTGCCTCCGGGGATCTTTTTCAGCTTGACGTAGTTACGAATGTCTATGTCGTCTCCACCCTGAACATCTGGGTCGACGTCGTCGGTGGCTTTGAGCAAGATCGGAATAAGAGCATCCTCCCAACTTTGAACTTTTGGTATGTCCGCATCCCTGAGAAGTTGTTGAAGCATTTTATGCACATGTTGGATACTTGCACGATTAAGCTCCATGGCTGGTGCAGCCATCCCATGCATGGACGCACTTCGAATCATTCTCGAACGGCCTCGGTAGATGCTTGCCGAATCTGCTAAACCGTCTTGTTGATCGTCTTGATTGCCGGGGATGATGATTTGCAGTCTCTCTCTGGTTGTTCTCGGGGTTCCACGGTGGATGCTGCTTGAAACACTAAGATTCCGCTTCCGAGAACCTCTGAGTGCTTCTATGTTACGTGAACTGATGACACTCGCTTCATCCGCCTCTCTCCCCAGGTTAAGAAATCCAGCGATACTTCGATCCCCGAGTCGAGAACGGCCCTTTCGTACGGCTGCCAACAGACCACCGATCGCGCTTTTCTCGCTATCCGGTTCACTACGGGACAATTTATCTTGGTTCAAGGCTTCGTTGATAGACTGGTCTTCCTCACTTGAAGGATCATCCGAGAGATATTGTGCGAGATCAGGATCAATGATGCTATCTCGGTGAAAAGCTGAAGACTTGCCAGCTTTGAGTCCCTCCTCGGCAGCACGACGTTGGAAAGGTGCTCTGTCTTCATGGTATGCTTTGAAGTTGCGTATGTGCTGGTGCCTGGAGTGGTGTCTCTTGTGGCCGTGACCAATAGAATGAGTTGCTTTCAAAGATCTGGAAGAGCTTGGACGAGGCAGTGGTCGATCCGTTGTATCAAATTCAAGCACTGCAGAGTTACGGTTAGCGCCATCGAAAGCTCGTCGCACCGGAAAGCTCATTGTGGGCGTCCTGGCCATCTGTTCAAGAGACTGGGAAGTAATCGAAGTATTGTCATCTTCAAATCTGGGAATGGCGCGGGTAAATAGAGAGGGTTCGGGAGTCCGTGGACGAGCATTCGATTCCGTCAAAGTCAGGTCCTCAGCCGAATAATCGGAAGAATCATCGTCGTGGGAAGTGATTATCGATTCGCAGGGTTTGCAAACGCGAACAGCACTGTTGGACCCGAAATGACTTCCACTGATGAGGACCGTGCACTTGTTGTCAAAGATCTGACCGCATGTGCGGCAATGGTGCTTTCTTCGGAATGTCGTGAACTGCTCGCCGCAGTGAAAGCAATCCTTTGCATTCTCGTCTCGCATCCAGAACTCCTTGCTTAATAACTTGCTGCGTAGCTTGCTGAGCGGTCTCGGCTGGTGAGTACGATTGATGACAATGCTCCGTGTGTCCTCGTCAAGCTGGTCCAGGTTTGCGCGCAACAGGCCGGCGGATACCGAGGAGTCTGACGATGTCGTTCGTGAGGCGTAGAAACCCGGCAATCTCGACTGATTTATTTTTGGAGCAAGTTTCTCGGGTGGTCTCTGCTCCAGAGTAGAGAGAAGGGGTGACTTTAGGCCAGAGGGTTCATTAGGCTTGCTATGAGAGGCTGACGAGGCTCTCGTCGAGTTGATAGCATTTTCTGCCAAGAGGTCTAATGGATTTGTATGCCTTTGGTGCGAAGCATTTTCTTGTCTATTCACCGCCACCACCCGAGTAGCCGATCTCTCCCCTTGAGGTGAGGCCAGTAGCGGTGGACTAGCTACACCATCGGCATGACTAAAGTGGCTTTGATTTGAGTTGGTTGACAAACCTCGATCATGGGAGGTGGACACCCCTCTGGCACTCAAGAGCGGCGAGGTTATCAGCTTATTCCCCCGGTCAGAGAAGGAGGTCTCGGTTCCCTGTTTGGAAAGAGCTTTGCGCAGACTCTCGCTATCTACGGAGGCTGTCAAACTCCGCTCATGGGGAGACTCCAGCTCGAAACCAGAACCAGCCCTGGAGTGGTTCGTCGAGCCGACAGCATGGATATTCACAGATGTGACAGACGGGTCAGCGAGGTGGGAAGAAGGCTGCGGAGGGCCCGTGGGCGAGCGGAGAGCGGGAGTAGAAGGTATGGAGGGCTTCGAGATGCTGGTGGCCTTTGAAGACACCTTTGACGGGGGTGGATCGGTCGGAATCGTGGCGTCTGAAGCCATCAGGCGTGGAGACGGGGCTTTGGATGTGAGACCAGAGCTGAGTTTGGAGCTGGCTCGATCGTCTGCCACTGACAGAGCAGAAGACGCTTCTTGAGGAGGGTCGTCGGCATCCTTGGAAACACCCACCGTAGCCTTCAATTTATTGTACAAGCCGGATATGCCTCCTTGTATTTCGCTAGCCAAAGACTTGTTCTCCGTCTGAGAGGAGGCAGTAGGAGGGTCGGTGTAGTCATTGAAGACGGTCAAGTTGTTCGACTGGGATGCCGCAGTATGGATGCTGTTGAGAGCGTGGTTGAGGGCATCTTGATCAAGATCGTGAGACAAGGATGATTTGGAGTCCCGGCGAGCTTTTCTTCCGAGAGGGAGGAAGATGGAAGACGCGGAAGGGCTGTCCCTGTCTTTCTGAATATCCTTGTCCTTGTCCTTGTCCGGTGGGTTGGAAGCAGTGGAAGAAGAGGGCATGGTGTGAGCCTTGAATCTTTCGTCGCTCGTCGTCAATCTGGAGGTCTGCCGCCCGCATTCAGACGGGTATCGTGGTGATACTCGGATGGCTTCATGCTCGGGAACTCATCTCGAGTGATGGTAACAGATATCGCCACGGTTTGAGGAGATGGGTGCCAGCATCGGCAACAACGCATGGAGCAGCCTTGGGACTGTGTGACTGTGTGGTTGTCGATGTGAATGCCATCATTGTTTCTCCACAGAAGATGAAGCCGCAGAAGGCCGCCACCTGCGCCACTCACAACTGCACATAGCGAGGAATCCAACGTCATGGCTTGGCAAAGGGCGTCGCGTCAGAACGCGTCGGTCAGACTCCCATCTGCGAACGTGTGGGTGCGCTTTCGGCAACCTAAAACACCGAAATTGAGCAGTGCCCGTTGCGACGACGATGCAGCTTGTTCATACCGACTGTGTCTATTCGTATGCATTGCTCTGCCGGAGCCCATGGAATCTCAGAAGCCATGGCTGGCCGAATTCATCAAAACCGCCCTCGATGCATGGTTCGGCGAGGTCGAAGGATGTCGCTCTGCCGAGTATCAGTTCCAGAAAATTGACGGTAATCTGAAGGCAAGCTACAAGGCGGCATGTCGAAAGACTGTGCGCTTGCTAAAGGTAAATCCGCATTCAATCCTTTACTTGTCCTAGGTGGCTAACCATTTCCATTAGCTTCCGAAACTTGGTTCTATGGAACCCAGGGGTGAGATCTCTGATGGAATACACAGTATAGAGACCATCTTCCCTCAGGGCACGGCAACTGAAATGATACACTCCGGTGTCCAGCAGGGAACACTCTTACACCTTATTGATCCTGTCCTTCGAGTCACCCCTCATGTCAACCCACCGAAACCATTGCTCCAGATTACAACCAGCAAGATTGTGGAGGAGACGGATCGGTTGGGACAAATCTTCAATTCTGGCTGTTCTGTAACAGAGGACCAGGATGTACGCGAAAGGATGTCTCAGTACTGGGTCCTGAGAAGACGCAATCGTGCTCCCTCAAGGCCGGTCTCACGTGCCAGCACAGTCTCTTTCCAATCGCAGGTTGATTTTAGCACACAGGCATGTCAAGGGGCTACAAAACCTGATGAGGACGCTAAGGAAGATCTCTCTCAGCCATTCTGCACACAGGTGCCCATTGATCTCAGTGGCTGGAGTCTGACCAGACCATCCGACCCGGCGGCCTGCATAGTAAATGGGTCAGACACCAATGGCAAAGGTCATTCTCTGGCGTCGACCCAGGAAATAAAAAGACCAAACAGCTCTCCAACCTGTCTCCCTTCAAAGCCCGTGCAAGAGTCCGTCTCAGAGGCTAGTCCATTCGCGCCAAAGAGGGAAAGCAATAAGCCCCACATTGAGATCCTATCGTCTACATCCAGACCTACCAAGCAGAGACCAGGATTTGAATCGAGAGCTCTGTCAAATTCAGCCAATCCTGACCCGCCTCGACTTCTGAGTACTCCTGCCATCACAAGAGAAAACGACCAAAGTAGCCCTGTGGAAATGACCGAGCTTGGGACCGACATTCCAGTTTCTCCCCGAGAGGCGGGAGACCACAGCCATGAAGAACCACTCAAACTGGCGACAAAATCGAGTCCTGGAAAGCGAGTTGTTGTCCCGCAATCGGCTGAAGTGCCGCCAAGTCATTTTCAGCGTTGGCGAGAAGAGGCACAAGGAGGCAGATATATTCCTAGACATATTCAACATATCCCACGAGAACAAGCAAAGTTGTTGAAGTCGCTCTTGGAATCCGGGAACAGCTGGCAACCACCCCTTGTCGGTCGTACACAGAGGCCGGGAGAGGTGCCTTTAGCCCTCCAGGTGCAACTCTATGACGCTGCAGATGAGCGAGCAAACAACCGCGCGTCGTCCCCAGAGAATACAGAACCTGAAGCCTCAGGAAAAGATCTACCTCCAGCTCGACATGAACAAGGTCATGACTTGGCATCGTCCCACTCGAATGAAGAGAATGCTAGCGATTCCGAAGGATTGATCGCCTGGTCTCAAAGTCCGCCAACTCAACAGCGGCGAGCAGTCAGACTACCCCCAAACAGTCCTCCTCCGAACCTAGAGCGACAGAGACAACCTGCCCGTATTACCTGTGACGGAGAAAATCAGGAAAGTGCAATGTTAAGTGGTCCCGATCCGTCGCTCGCCGGCTTCATCAGCCAGCAACAAGTGGATGGAGTTGAGTCATCATCTAATGATCGCAGCCCTAGTTTTCCTGGACGAATTTCAAACGAGGGTGCTGATCTATCTTCGGCTGCGGAAGCACCAGATTCGGCGCAAATACCGCATGCTGATCCGAATGACAAGAGCTCGTCCCAAGAGGAAATACCTTCCACGACCACAAGGGTGTCAGGTGGCTCCAGTTCGGAGAAAATACAAGTTACAAGAACGCCATACGGTGGCAAAGGCATGAATTTGTCCCAGCTCCTTGCTGCACAAACCGCTTCGACAATTCCAAAGAAAAGGATTGGTGATAGAAATCCTGCTTCAACTTTTGTCCCTGGCACCTACAATGAACCAAGCTCAGGTGAGATCGCTACAGCTGCAACAACCAAACCCACCAGGGGGGCTCTGTCAGCAAATGATATCTCAGATTCGACTACTAAAGAGTCGAACCAAAATAGTCCCGCCGTAGCAAATGTTCAGTCACAAGATTGTGAAGCAATGAAATCCAAATACGGAAATGTTAACCTAGGAGAGCCCTCGAGCTCTGTCCCCAGTGCCAACTTGGACATTGCATTTTCTGGAAGAAATGGCTCACGAAAAAACACCCAGGATCTTCCTGATCAGCAAGGTCAGGGGTTTTCTGGCGAAAGCGACGACCTTGGTCCTCAACTTCCCAATCCGGAGACAGCGGGAGTAAGAGTTGTTGACGCCGAACCATGCGCGGAAGGAGCTGATCAGACTGTGGCAGAGGACAGTCCAAAAGAAGAAAGGAAAGCAGCTGGTGGATCTGGTGGAAAGGCCACTGCAACCTCCATGTCTGAGGCTCGTGAGATGACTTCGGTTTCTGCAAAAAGGAAGCGAACAGATTCAGGAGGCAGTGACGTCCCAATCAAAAGTCAGCGGCAAGTCCCAGAGGGCATGGACGTCGGTCCCGACTGCATACCTGTCCTCGGGAGACAGATAGAGCATCACGAGCATCGATTGAGACAGATTGCCAAGCCCCAAGATTCGATGCGAGGTCCTGGTTCACCTCCAATAGAACCGCCGCCGCTCGGAAGCTCTCACTCAGCATTGTTAGGTAGTGACGCCGGCATCTCAGAGTCAGCAGACACTCCAGAAGGTAGATGGCTGCTCGCCTTGCTCAACATGAAGTCGCGCGACGCCAACAACACAGAACCCGGTGAGGAAAGAAGACAACATTCGCCGATGGCCTCGCGGCCGATTAGTGAGGCCAAGGTCTCGACAGCTCATTCTCTCCTGTCATCTAGGCTCGATAACGACGGCAGCAGCGACACATCGGAACCATTGCCAAACCAGAGAAGACGCAGCCGGCAGCCAGAGTCTACAGCTATGGCACCAAGGCAGTCGTCGACGCCAATCACTCGTCGATCTGCATATGGTGGAGGCTATAACGGGGACATCAAAGCCATGTCAGATGAGCCGGACGGGACTGATAGTCTCTTCGAAAGGTACCGGGCAGCATATCCCGACTATGACGGGAAAGTGGATGATTTCCTCAACTCATACTGCTTTGTCAAGGAAATCTGGATCCGCGAACCATGGCCCAAATCGATACATCCATCCCATCTCGACGATGCCGTCTTTCACCACTACCACAGTTATCAGCCTTATACAAGGGGTGCAGGGACAGCAGCTATGGGGTTTGTTGAATTCTTTCATAAATTCGTTGACCCAAGACACCATGAAAGGATCATCAGACCCTCTGCCCTCGAAACGCCTTCGAGTCGAGATGCTACAATGAGAAGGTCGACTCGGGGCGACATCTTGGTACCCCAACAAGAGCAAATCTTTGATCCTGCACTGGTTCCGGCAACCAAGACAATGAAACCACAGACAGCAAAAGAAACGATTGCCGAACAACGTCGGCGGTTTGAGCGTCTTGACCAAGCTAGGGAGCACGCCATCGAAGACTGCATTGATTCCATCGAAAGATGGCGTGAAGGTGCTGCTCGTACCGCCTCTCCCGAACTGGGAACACCAGACCTTGACAGGAGTCTTTCACTGCGAACATCAGATAAAGAGTCTCCAGACCCACAGACAAAGACCTCAATACCTGTCACCACATCCCAACTACAGAAGCTTCCTCATCCATCAGCCAGCCTATTCGTCAAGCCTCAAAGAACTGCTGCAGTCAACAGAGCAGAATCGACGACAGCCAAGAGAGCCACGGCCACCAGGAGCTCGTCCGTGCGGGCCAAGAAGCAACCACCGACGCGAGACTTCTGGAGTGGCACAAGCACGGCGTTCATGATATTCGAGCAACAGTACGCTAAGCCGGCTGCTGAGAAGAAGTGTAGGGCTTCCCGTGGGACTGCGCGTTCTACCCAGTCTGGGCCCAACAGCAACAAGGCATAGCACCGGCACGGGCGTGGATGTGTTTTCGTGGCGAAGATAATAGTTGTAACTGATTAAGCGTTATAGCCCTCGAGCTTATTTGTATTGTATCCTGAGATGATATACATGCTGGAAAGAGTATTCTGCCTTCAAATGTATTATGTTATCAACGTTGAGTGCTCATTCGGGGCAAATATCCTTCCGCCTCGCTACGTGTCTCAGCTACGCACGAAAGCCTCGGTTCCGACAATCACAGAATGCAACATGCTCCAGAGTCCAGCCGGAGCCAAGCGTCATGGCGCCGAAGCGGGACGATTCTAAATGAGTGAAATCAACACATCAACCGGCCTCCCTTCTCTATACCTAGCATATCTCTCTCAGAAATCTGGGGGTTGGTTCGACAACTCCTGAGACTTGAGTTGTGATTTCACTCTAGCCTTCGCGGAAGGTTAAAGGGAAGAATCCATAAAGAACCATACACGGACAGGCAACATCTAGTATTCGAGGACTTCTCGCAAGCAAGGTGATACCATCATTCTCGAATCTCGCCACTGAACGAGTGTTGCCTCACCAAAACCACAAGGCCAGGCTGTTGGATTACCCAGGCAGGCGGCTCCGACGACCCAACATCTAATATTCACAGGTGTACTGCCAAATAAAGCTCACCTCGTCACCGATTTCCAAATAGTGGTATAAGAAGGAGAAAGGAAGCCAGTCAACAAGCCAACAAGCAGGCAGGGCCACCTATTCACTCCGGCTCTAAGAGAAGAAGGGAAAATATCACTCGGTCCGCAAATCAAGGACAACCGATTGCTTTTTCTACTCGGGCAAGCTGAATTCGAAGTCCCACACACACATACAAGCATGTCTCGCGTCGTCCTAGCCACCAGCATTACTCACGCCCTCGTCGCGGTTGGGCATACGGTATGGTCTCCATTCTACGTCCCATATCCCATGTCTCATCTCTGGCATCTCATCATCTCTCTCGATTTGTATCCCACCATCCACCTGTGGAAAGCTTCCTCCATCTCGGTCCTACATCAAGTCCAACCAAACTAACCTATGAATAACCAAAATCCAGGTGCATGGTCTGAACACTTTCGCCCTGCCGGCGTGGACCTCCCTCCCGGCCCTGCTCCGCTGCTATGCAAAGGCAGGCTGGTACCAAGGCAGCGTCTTCTTCAGCATCGCTGCGCTGTTCACGTACCAGCTCTCGCAGCGCGACCCGGCGACGTGGACGACGATCGAGCGCGCCATCACTGGCCTGACGATGGCGCTGTACTGCGTGAGCAGCGCGTGGTATTTTCGGCACGGTGATAAGGCTACGGGCGTTGTCACCGGGTTCGGCGGAGCGATGTCTGCACTGACACTGATGCAGTAACTACACCAGGTACTCAGTGATGTCAGAGTGTTTTGGAAGGTGGAAGGATAGTTGAGTCCAGGGCATAGTAAACTGAGAAGGGGAAAGGGGATTGATTGTTCGTAGCATAAGCACGGAGGTGTTTCCATTGTATTCCTTTTTGTCCGAGCCAAAGCAAGGAAGGAAGTAGGAAGCAACAACATGCGATCTCTTTCTTTGAATTGGGAAAAAAAAAAAAATAATAATAATAAAACGGATTTACGCGTTCCGTCACAGCTTCGCTTTCCGCTTCCCTTCCTCCCCCTTCCCATCCCCATTGCTTTTCCCCAGAGTTCCAGGCTCCATCAAAGCCTCATACGCCGTCCTCACATGCGCGGGCATGCCCTCGGAGGCCGGCCGTCCAAGCACCCCGCCCTCATTAGCCACCCATACATGCATGCTCCCACCAACCGCCTTAACTATGGGCTCGCCTTTCGCAAAGATGCCGACCTCGTAAAGTACACTGGACTTTCCTAGCTTTGCTACGCGGAGCCCGACCTCGATGACGCCCGGGTAACTCACCGAGCCGAAATAGTCGAAGTAAGTGTGCGCGATGATGGCGGCCTGTGGCGATCGGTCCATCGAGTACCCGCACTTTTCAATCAGGTACTGGTTCGCTACGCTGTCGCAGAGGACGCCGTAGTAGGGGTTGTTCATGTGCCCGAAGACATCGTTGTCGTTCCTTTATATCCTCACCACAAGGGGGATCTGTCGTTAGATATGTTTGCGCTTAGGGAGTAGAGAGGGACTTGATGGGGGGATTTCAATCCAGCCAATCTCGGGCTCAGAGGAGGACCAGGTAGGTACGGGGAAGGTAAAGTAGGGAGAAAGGTAGGAACTCACCACCGCAGCCTGTACTCTAGCCGGTAGGGGTAGTCTTCTATCGTGCGTTCCCGCTTCGACGCGATGTCGAGGCCTAGCATAGCTCGTTGAAGGAAAAAAGACCACCGCTTCGCTGTGGGAATTAGATCGAGCAAGTATTGGCTCTGATACCGTCGAATCAAAAAACCCCGGTTCGATACGTGTGTAGGGAGGACTGCTGGACAAGGGAAGGATAGCCCGGCTCAAAAAGTGCAGAAAGGGAAGAGGAGAAGTTTTTTTCCGAATGGCCGCCGCGCCCTTGTTGGAGAAATAAAGTACGAGGTACGCACGCACTACAGATCGGATCTTCGAGAGGGAGAGACGATTGACTGATTGACTGATTGACCGGTTGCTCTCAAGACTACAGCAGTGTTCAGCCGAGCGGGCGGCGACCGGAGCCTTGTGGTGTATTTTTGAAGCTTCAATGCCTCGGCTGATGACATAAGAAAACAGCCTACATGGACGATTTACAGCCTCGTCAGTCTCGCCGCTTCAGGCATGGGAAAGGGGGGGAAACAAGTCCTCCGTACTCCGTCCAGAGTTGCGAAAAAGACAAAGGAAAGATTAGGATCCTTAGGAAGTTGGCACACAGCAGTCAAAGCATTAAAGGACCGTTTCATTAAAAGAGAACCAGTTGTTGTATAGACCCAATCCGACTAAAAGTACACCTGCGCTTGCCCTATGATAGATCTATGTCCGAAATCTAGCCCAACAAATACTCTTTTCACAATGCATAAACAGCGTCCCGGAGTCCCTCATGGATCAAATGGCGTTCCTCAGTCCCTAAACGAGGCTCACAGATGTAAAGAAACATTGGTAAAGTCGTCTGAGCCTCGAGGACCTCCGCCGGTCCGGTTTCGCGCTGTGCTGGGCAAGACCTGGAGACCCGTACTGCCTACGGGTCCTCCAACAGCCACACCTATCTCACTGGCAACAGGGTTGTTCTTGGGGACCATCCTCTTCTTGTCCTTGTTGTCGTCGAACTGTGCCTTGGCCGCCTTGGCCATGTCGTTTGTGATGGCTACGGTGTAGCTTGGCGATTCCATCGATCCAGCAGCTGGCCCGCCACCGCCTGGGCCGTCAATGGGGACCTTTCGCACCGCCGACAATAAGGCACAGACGAACCTGCTGCGATGCTGTGCTCGGACGAATTCAGAGGCGTAGTTGCCCTTATGCTGGAACTCGACGCGGAGTTCAAGCTTTGACAGGTCCGCAATCGACATCAATTGGATGTCGACCGCCGGCATAAAATCCCGTTTGTGTTCAGCGACGTATTTGAGCATCTCGCCACGCAGAGTCTCAATGTCCTCGAACGAGGTCCCCACCGACACGTTGAGGGTGATTTGCTCTCTGAGCTCCTTGGACCTCGTGAGGTTCTTGATCCAGACGCCGTTGATAACGCTGTTGGGAATCTGGATCATCTGTTTTGACTGCACCTCCCTGAATACGGAATACAGAAGCGAGATCTTCACGACGTCCATTTCGACATCGCTGACGTTGATGCGGTCCCCTACATCGTAGGGGTGTTTGATGAAGACGGTGATACAGGCGGCAAACAGCTCACCTGCTGTACTGGCGAACAGGAAAGAACAACCAGTGAAGGTGGTCCAGATTTGGGTGTAGTGACTGGCAAGGTAGTTCGAGAAGAAAGCGGCGTAGATGAGGAAGACAAAGATCAAGACGATGACAGCCAAGACACGGTCGAGGACCTTGATGGCGTCTTTGACATCGTTGGCCCCTTCCCAGATTGTCTTTCTGTCGTTCGCGACCTTCTTCACAAGTTCGATCATCTCTTCCAGGGTGAGGTCGCCGTTCTCATCGGCATCGACTTTGGAGTGGATATAGGCAGCCTGAGCTTCACGCCCAGGCCCGAGCATGACGGTAATGGCGGCTTGATCCAATTTGGTCTCTCCGAAGTTGGTAAACGAATTCCAGATACGTCGGGCCAGAGCTTCGGAGCTGATGGGCCGTTCGAGCGCTGCCTCCACTACCGGGCCAGAAGCAGTGGGCATGAGGACTTGTCTTCCGGCGATGTCGCTGACCAGGTACCCGAGCACGGACGTGGCACTCGCCGCTGCGTTTCCTAGATTGGTCATGAAGACTGCCGTAGACTGGTCCTTGGTCTTCAATCGGCCGAGCCTGTCCTTTCGGTAGCCCTTGGTGTCCCAAATATCAAGGTCTTCCTCCACGAACGATGGATGGTTGTCATGATATCGTTGCCGCGAGACATCGTACATGGTTTCGATCGCTCGGCTGAGAGTCTTGAGCTCTTTGATGTTGTCGTAGAACTGTTTGCCATGGTAGTTGACGCTGACCATCTGGATGAGCATTTTCTCGACCAAGTAGAGTGCTGAGACGCCAGTGGTAGCTTTGAGCACGTTGTGTAGCGTACTGAGCCATTTGATATTGCCTGCGTGTGCCTTGTGGAATTCTTTGTCAAACACGTAAATGAGCGAGTAAGAGGCAATCGACAGAATGGTCCAGAAGAAGAGTGACAACGGGATTTCCACAGCCTTGAGAACCAGCCAGTACTTGCGGATTCCGGTATGAATTGCTCCACCAACTGTCTGGAACACAATGGGAACAGTCTGGGCCAAGAGTTTGGCGATCCATAACAAGACCCAAACAACTTCGATCCAGATAAAGAGCCCCAAGAGATGAATTCCGCCAGGTTCGTCCTTGCTTGTGGTCTCATAGACGGTTGAAATCGTGTTGTTGTAAAGTGATGTGATATCGCTGTTACTATTGCCGTCCAGAGGGTCGATTTGCGTGACGTTCGAGGTAAGGATTGGGGTTGTGGATGTTGTCTTGAAATTGGAATGGATCATCTTGTCCTTGTACACCGTGGCGCAGAGAACAATAGGAATAGCCAAAAGAATGGCTACGGGGACGATGTAGATGATGTACCGAAGAAGGACGTTCTTTCTTAGCCGCCGCCATTTTAGACCGAGCTGTGTCAACCCTTCATCGTCGGAGTCGCTGTCGGATAACTGTCTCTGGGGTGGATATAGACCTCTGTCTATGGGACTTGAGGATTGCCACACCATCTCGATACTGCCCTGGGCATGACGCGTTGACTGTTTATCCTGGTAGTCGGAGATGGCATCTTGGATCGTCACAATGGCATCTTTGACGGTCATTTTGGATAGTCAGTCGACGAGAGGGTATGTAACTTGACCCGAAATGATTGCTGTTTGAGAAGCAAAGACTCTCCAACTCCGAAGTCGAACGATCACACGGAGTATTGTTTAATTGGGCTCACAGCAGGGAGAGCTTCTTACCTTTTTAGCAGTCCTGCAAACGAGAAGACCGTTCCTTGAGTGGCAAAACTCCACGCCATCATTTCTTGCACTGTTGGTGCCACAGGCCGAACTTGCTGCTGATGCGGTGTTAAGGTTTCAATTCAGATGCACCGAGAACAGCCACGGCAGCAGAGAACCAGCAAGCCACACACATACAAAGGAAATGGACAGAAAGAAACTCAACACCGCACACCGAGCTATGACCTGACTAAGTTCCAGGTCCCGCCCATGGCTTGGCTCTGGAGAATCAAGATGCGGTGGCACGAGACCTCGCCTGGCCGATGTTCGAGCATCCAGGGGGACGGGTCATGGACGATGGCGAGCCCTGTGAGTCTATCACACGTGGCAAACCGGGGGGGTAAGAAGCGCAGGTTCGTATGGCGGCACAAAAGTCCTCGGCGAGCTGTAAGCGAGGCTTCTTTGCCGAACATGGGCAATGGGCGCGATGGTGTTGGCGAGGTTTGCTCCAAAAAGGCAAGCACAAACTCACAGAGTCGATGTATGAGTACCTCTAGAGACCCCACATAGCCCTAGACCGTCTGGAAGCGTGGATGTCGTGTTTTTGTTTTCTAAGATAGACACTAATTTGGGAAAAGTGGATGCAAGGCTGGACCCACATAAGAAGCCCCTTTTTGCAATCGCGAGTCGAGACCGCGTGGTTCTTTATGCAATTTCCACTTTTCCATTCTGGTTCAAGCCAAAGTCTTCCCTTTCAGGAACACTGGGCTGAAAGTAACCTGATATCCTGCTTCATCTGTGAGCGTCTCGCATGACTATTGCTCCATGGCCCCGCATCCAGCTGCCCAAATTCGACGCCACCACGGCGTCGCCGTTGAGGTCTCGATACAGTGTCTGGGAGGCACGTGGCCAAAAAAGGGACAGCAAACTGCCCGAGGATGGTATTCAATAATATGGCACGGGAAAAGTGTTGGTATGTGCGTGGGCAAGGAGAGCAGTAACAACATCTGCAGCAGCAACAGCCAAAAATGGGCGCCTTTGCAATGGAAAGTCTCGATGGCTCTAAGCGGCAAGGCCACATCAAGATCACAGATGCTGGCAACAGTACACCTCGGTCAGAGAAAGCCAGCGAGACACTACCAACACCTCCCGGTCTGAAGAGCCATCTCCTCAATGCAGTCGAGAGATACTGGCTGTTCGAGTTCTTCGGCTGGGCGTTGGCGTTTGGCTGCCTGGTCGGCACCATTGGGCTCCTTGCCGCGCACAACGGGAGAGAAGCGCCGACTTGGACGATGGCCGTGGGGAGCGGGCGGTATCGCAAGACGTTGGGACTGACCATCAACACGATCATCTCTGTCTTTGCGACGGCGTTCAATTCAGGGCTTTTGATCCCGGTCGCCGCCAGCATCAGCCAGTTGAAATGGATCTGGTTCCAGAAGGGGAGGCGGCCTCTGGCGCATTTCCAAAAGTTCGAGTCGGCGGCCCGGGGCCCCTTGGGGTCTCTTATACTCTTGTGGACGCTGCGTTGTCGGTAAGCTATGGCATAAAGAAGAAAAGCCAGAAAGGACCTCTCCCCTTCACAGTCCTCTTGGCCGGTTCCCGGAGCTGACGCGACGCAAGACGTCTCGCATGTCTAGGAGCCATCATCGTGATCGCTGCACTGGGCACTGGGTTCTCTTTCCAAGCTCTGGTGGTCTACCCGCTGCAGCCGGTCCAGGTGGACGTTGCAAGGATCCAGAGGACGAACCTCAACTGGGGCAGCAACTCTCTGAGTACGTGTTTCCCCTTCCCTCTCCCCTTCCCCCCTGTCTCTGCGCGCGGCTAGATGTTTGTTGTCGTCTTCTCTCTCGAGACTAATTGATGGATTGCTGGGCATAGCCACTAGTCTTTCCAATGACATGGTCGGAGCGATATACTCGGGAATCTACCAGTACACGGACGTGTCGCAGATGAAGAACGTGTCCTGCTCGACCGGGAACTGCACCTGGCTGGAAACTTACACGTCGATGGCTGTATGCAGCGAGTGCCACGACGTCACGGCCTCGCTGAAGAAGACCTGTGGCACAGCCCAGGTGCCATCGCAAGCCGACGGGGTTCAATCGGTCGTCAACATGTCGCTGCCCTACTGCAACTACTCGCTTCCCAACGGGCTCAAGGCGTCCGGAGTGCCGTCGGTCAACTACTCTTCGCTCGAGATCTCGAGCAGCACAGCCGATTCAGTGCATTTCGACGCAGACTCGGCGCTCTCGGTCCTCTCGACCATCAGGACACAATGGGGCTCCGGCGTGGCTGATTGGGGGAATCTAGGGAGCTTGACGCCGGCAAGCGACATCATGGGCATCGCAACCACCCAAGCCATCGAGTGCGCCATCTACTACTGCGTGCAGAAATTCAACGCCTCGGTATCCAGGGGCAAGCTGAGCGAAAGGGTCATCGACACCTACGCATCAGGCCGTTTCACCTCCCCAGACGTCTACGTGCTCGAACCGCCGGCGTCCTTTACGAACCACTCTAACAAAGACTACGCCAACGTCTACCAGAGTAACCAGCTGGGCGCGATCCGGGATTTTTTCTCCACGCAGTGGGCAGGCCAGGTGCTGGAGTTCGGGACGCCGCCCACGAACACACCCACAACGCCGATCGCGCTGTTCCTCTCGGGGATATTCTTCGAGCAATCCCCCTTCGCACAGTTCCAGCAGATGTTCTCGAGCCTGGCAAAGTCCCTGAGCGACAACATCCGGTCGTACTCCATTGGGTCGGACGCGGTCCCCACGGCCGACGGCGCCGCGTACCAGGACAAGCCGCACGTGAAGGTGCGCTGGGGCTGGCTGGCTCTGCCTGCGGCGCTGCTGGGCCTGGCGCTGACGCTGCTGGTCGGCACGATCGCGGCGACCGCGCGCGAGAAGACACTGCTCTGGAAGGGGTCCGGCCTGGCGGCCTTCTCGCACCCTCTGACCAGCGACGCGCGCTCTGTCGTCAGCGACGTCAGGAGTCCCCGCGAGGTGCTGATGATTGCGGAGCAGATGGACGTGAAGTGGGAGAAGACGGACCGCGGGTTCAGACTCGTCAGATAGCCGCGAGCAGCAGATAGAGAAGATGTGGCCGGGTGGGAGAGAAACAGAGTAGCTAATATCATGGTCATTCATTCGCAGCACCGACACGACACGACACGACGCAGCTGTAGCGCAGTAGCAGCGCCGTTCCTCCCAGGTCATCCATCATGCCTCGTTGGCGGTGGCCATCACGGTCCCCTCCACAGCCCTCCACTCTTCGAGACACGCCCGGTTGAACTCGTCCGGGAACTCCCACATACAAGCGTGTCCGCCCCTTGTGGCGCGCCAACGACTGCCTGGAATCAACGCGTGCAACTCCTTGGACAGCACCACAGGTATCAGAATGTCTCCTTCGCCCGCCAGCACGACGACCTGCATCCCTGCTGCTGCTGCTGCTGCTGCCGCCAGTCTCCCCACCTCGGCCCTGGTGTCGAATTCGGTGATGACGTTCAATTGCGCGAGATAGCTGCGGAGGCCCATGTCGGTGTCGATACGAGCCATCTCCTCCTCCATGGCGGCGAGGTCGTCGCGGCGGGCCGGGTCGGCGAAGAAGGCCGGCGTGAACGCCCATAGGGCGACGTCGCGCATGACGTCGGCGACAGACATGCGCTGCGCCATCTCGCGCCACAGGGCAAACATCCTGCTGCAGAACGGGCCGGGCGCGGCGTACGTGCACGCCAGCGTGAGGCTGGCGATTTCGCCCTCCCCTTCGGCCCCGGGCACGCCGTAGGCCAGCGCGTAGGTCTGCGCGATCATCCCACCCATACTGACGCCTATGACGTGGTACGGCGCTGCGGCGGGCAGGTTGAGCGTCTTGACCAGGCTGCGCAGATCAGACGCCATGGCGGCCGCGGTGTAGACTTCGTCGGCGGTCTCCGGGCGCGACGACAATCCCACTCCGCGGTTGTCGTACGTGAGCACCGTGTATCCTGCCTCCGTGAAGGCCGGGACTTGTGCGGCCCAGGTTGTCTGCGGGTCCGCGAGGCCGTTTATCAGCACGAGCCACGGTCTGGTCGTGGGCATGGGCGGCTGGTGGACGGTGTAGTTTATCCGTATGGATGGGGAGATGTCGTGGTAAGGCATCTTCAAGGGGGAGGTCAGTCAACGCTTCTCTGGGTTCGCCCTGCCTTTCCCTGCGCTTTCCTTTCCTTATTGTCCTTTCTTGTGGTGTGTGTCAGTGCCTGTGTTAAGTTCTTGGATGCCCTTTCGACCTCAACGAGTCATACCAGCAGACCTAGGTCTAGACCTAGATTCCAAGCGCTCGAGACCCAGACAGGACCGTTACGTTAGAAGCAGTGCTAAATCGAGGTACATCCAGATAAGACGACAATGCTGATGCCGATGCTTATATATTACTCTCTAGGTACATATGTACATACATATGATGGATGGATGGACAGATAGATAGATAGCGACGAGTCCGGAAATTGGCCGAGGACTCAGACTCTTACGACATCAACCCTTAGAACATGCACAGCATGCTTGACGAGACGAATTCGCTCATCTCAAAACCCCGTTTCTCTTCTATTCCATTACCGTTTCTATCGGACATCACGACCGAACATGGACTGTCACCTCTAATTCTGGCCCAACAGACGATAGACGACTGGTATAGTATACACATATCTATCCCCATTTCCTGACGCCTCGCCAAATAAAAGCACGGCATGAGCGAAAGCCTTGCCCGCCCGAAGAATTCTCATCTATGATCTCGTTAATAAAGAAAAAGGAAACAGCCAAAGAAAAACATGAAATCTCTTTGTGTACTCCAAAACCTCTCGTCAGGGACAAAACCCTTGATCAGACATTCCCGACTCCTTGGAAACAATTCGCTTTCCTTCTTTCCTCATTGATCTGACATTTCAAGCTTCTGTACATTTCCGTCGTCATGACCACCGCTGGTCCAAGTGTGGCTCCAGTAGGTAATCGTATAACTGGGCCAGCGATCGGTGGCGAGCAGCTGTTTGCATCTCTCGGAGTTGAATGTTTCCTTGGTGGCCCAGCAGACGTCTCGGAAGGCCTCGCCATCCCGCTCCCACGAGTAGGGGTAAATGTATTGGAAGGGCAGCACCTCGATGGAATGTTTCAATCCCTTGCGCGGGTTGAACTGCTTGGCCGTTGGGTTCTTGGCCACATGCCTGTCGAGCGCTTCTCCCGCCCATTTGCTCTCGGGCTGGGTGTATTCGTTGATCATGTCGTACAGCTTTCCGGGCCCTGTGATACCCTCGACGTTTTCCATGTCACCACCTTCTTCGCTCATCCTCTTCATGACCGACTCGAGCACGATTAGGAAAAAGGGGTGGCCCGGCGTCGACGCCATCCAGGCATTGGGGATCGAGTTTGAGGAGCCCGTGTCTGTGCCCATTCTGCCGAAGAAGGCTTTTCGGCCGCTCTTCTGCATGTTCTGCGTGGACTGGGGTCGTGGTTTGCCGTGCGAGACAGTCGTCACGTTGTATTCGGCCAAAAGCTGGTCAATTGGCCGCAGGCACTCAATGTCCAGATCGGCATAGACTCTACATCCTCGGTCAGCCCGGTCCTGCGCCTTTTTGTGGTAGCGGATACTCACCCTCCGAACATGTACATGTAGAGGTTTCGCACCAAATCCGCCCGGTAGATGACGCTGGGCAGGCCCAGGTATGTCTTCAGCAGCCACGGAAAATGCATCCTGACCAACTCTTCGTTGTCCTCGTCCGTCCACAGCACCCACTCCCAATCAGGGTGTTGCTGCCGGCACAAAGAACTCCAGCGTTCAAACTTGGCCGGCAGCTCGGTCGAGGACCAGCTTTGGTGCATCAATTTGGGCATGGATTGCAAATCGCGCGATATCGGTCGCTTCATCAAATCGACCGGACTCAGATGCTTCGCCTGCTTCTTGTGCGTGTGCTTGAATCCGGACGTGGAGGATTTGTGGCCGGTGCTGCTGCCGGTGGAGTCGCCGCTGCTGGCCGCGCCGTAGGGTTGGTAGGACGATCCAGTCATGTAGATGACCGCGAGGGCTGCGAGGACGAGGAATACAATCCAGCGAAGCGACCGGCGCGATTGGTAGAGCTGTTGTAGCGGGTTCCCATTTCGAGGCGAGGGGTTCAAGTCCATTGTGGGAGGAAGGAGCGACAGGAAGGACAGAAAAGATACAGAGGCCTCGGTTACAGATAGGCCTCTCGAAGCAGCAGAGATCAACTAAATGAGCGACAATGAGTTGGCAACATCAGGATGGCAAGACAAAGGAAAACAGCGAGAGAGGACGGCAACGGCAGTCTCACAAATGACACATTTTCCCCCCGACTGATGCTGGCGCCCAACAAGGGAGGAGCAAGAGGGAGATGAGGAGTCTACCAAGGACGCCGAGAGTTTCTGGCATATCTCAGACCAAAGTCTAATCCTTCCAGAGTCGGACAAGTTCAGGGGCAATTGTGGGCTGGTGGGATAGCCATGGTACATACCCGGTACATATTTCGTTATCTGGTGCGGTCTCGAATCTCGGCCCCCGCGAGCTCTCCATGTACTGGGGGGTACATACCCAGTACGAGGTAGTCCTTGGGAGAAGTGGCCAAAGTGGCTTGAGCTGACATGTGCATCTACATACTGGGTACCCAGGACGGGAGCACACGGAGTCGAGGCGTACAAGAGACGAAGCAGTAATCTCAGACTGATGTTGATCGTCTGTTGCCCTTTGACATGGGTTGAAAACGGGAAACTAGGTACTCGGTAGGTAGGTAGGTACATAGGTACTGTAATTGAGCAGGTGGATGTTGCGCAACAGAAGATTCTCTTCCATCCTTGATCCCTGCTTGTGCCTGATGATCCCTGCGTCAAAGGAGTTTTCCGGACTCGCATATCGTCCAAGGCCAAGTCTCCGGTCTCCCTCAAGAATGAACTAGACACTCATTCTGCCTAGTTTCGGTTTACCGATCGATCAATGCATCATACATCTAGATTTACACACGCGTCTTTGCGCGTCACAGGTGGGAGAGGAGAGCAATAGTAGGTACGAGGTACGGACCAAACGAATAGAATGCCAATGGCTGGTTCTAAACCAACGGGGTATCGCTTAGCTATCCAAGACAGATCTAAGGTTCTTCTTTTCCTTCCCAACTGATTAGTAGTAGCTTCTCGTCATCCTCACCCAACTCGTGGCTCTCAAATCTGCCCAGGACGGTCCCAGATTTGGTGGTGGCCGAAATCAATCGCTGTCAAGGGAACAGCGGTGACTGGTGCGCTTCGAGATTGGGTCACACCATGTCCCCAGCCACGGACGCGGGGTTGCCAACGGCAGGGTACGTTGCCGTGTCTCTAGGGGCTCGCACAAACTCCACCAAGTTCAACCAACAATCTCGGTTTGAAACATGTTGTGCGGGATGTTGCTCGAGGCATATGGCCAAACGGGGTCGCAATTCGACGTCACGCTGACGATTAGGTGTTGCCCCTTCGTTCGACATTCGCCGTTATCCAATTCGAGATCCGGATGAGGTACATAGACGGGGGGGGAGAG